CATTCAACATGCAAAATAACACTTTAAAATACCAACATGTGCTCCAGTGTTGACTTCTGAATTTCAAATGTGCTTTTGTAGTCTGCTTCTTTTGAAAACTCAACATAGCCCAAGTTTTTATGCTAGCCAATTAAGACTATCAAGTATTTATCGAGCTTACTGACTGTTGACAGACGCCTCAGAAACATTTTCTTTGCATAAAGCTTGCTTGGTGTACTACAGTGAAAAGCAGGATTTGAAAATTCTTATAAGTTGTTGATTTGAGCAAATACTTGCCCTAAAATCGTATTTGCAGACTGTCCGTTTTTGTTGCATCCAAGAGTAGATTGAGTCGGTGATCAGACGCCACAAACACTGCGTTAAGAAAACTGCATATTACTGATGTGGTGCTTTATATATTTAGAAAGTAAGAAAAGAATTTAACACCTAGCCTACCCATTGTAATTGTCTCGCCACCGTCTGTTGAGGAAGACAAGTTCTTTACCGCCGTCCCTACGCTACTCATGTTCATGCGCTGCAGTAGAACTTAAAACTGACTAGTAAAGCCATTTCAACTCCACTTTGTACGTCGATGAACTGCATCGCGAAAGCAGTTCTGAGGCGCCTTCAGACAAAGTGATGGCCCTTGTCTTCTCTATACAAACAACATTGCAATCTTGGCCTGTGCTTTACTGCCAAAATCTAAATGTTTGACGAGCTGTTTCCATTTTAATGCCTAAACAAGGCGTAGAACGAAGCAACTCATTCGAGTGGAAGCGTCAACGACGAATTTGCGCATTCTGTCTCAGGTGAGTTTGATGTGGTCGAATGTAGGAAGTTGACAGACACGTATGAGCAAATTTTGCATCCATGATCGTATCCTTGCAGTCGCTAGAGTTTCTACAATTGCACCGCCACAATTACGCTTCTGGCTTTATGGCAGCGCAGGTACATGGAAAATTTAGCAATCAAGCGTTTGCTTACTCACACGCGTAAGACGAGCGAATGGGCGGTGGATTGAGAAAGGGCATATACACAACTTGATGAAATGCCTAGAGAGGTAAATAAATGGATAGGGCGATAAACAAACCGATGCAAATAGCAATGAGAGTACATACCTAGGTGGTGAGTGATGCAAC